TTCTAAATTTGGGCTAATGGGTGTATTCCTGCTCATTGTGTTTGCTCAGACAGGTCGGGGAAAGGTTGATTCTTAATTCTGTCTTAAAAAATGGTATGGAAATTGATGTCTGTATTAACCAAGATTTGAGTGACATAGTTGATGTACCCCAAAGCCTCCTTTTAATGTAGCCACACCTATTCTTCTAATATAGCCACACCACCTTTTCGAAAGGCATATAAACTGTGAGCCCTTGCTATGAGGGTGTCTTTGGTCTACGAGAAATGGCCAAGGGACCATCTTTTTATTAATAACATGCTGACTTTATTAATAAAATGATTAAATTTCCTAGAAACTATGAGTCTCAAATTTTTTAATTGTAACACTCCCAAAGTTTACTTCAAGTGTCACCTCTCGAATGAGGCCTTTCCTGATCACCTGAATTACTACTGCTTCCAAACATTACACTGTTTATATCTTATATTTGTTTATGTGTCTCCAAATGTTTCCCAATAAATCATAAGCATCTTGAGGACAGAGAATGCTCTGCTTTTTGTCCCTTTATCCGTAGTACCAAGCACAGTACCTGGACCATTGAAGGAATTAATAAATACTTACTGGATTTAACTGAATTGATAGATACTATAAACAGACAATGAGTTGAACCCAGAATTAAATGAGGCAAAGGAAATAGGCTAGATTGCCCTCAGAAAGTTTCAAAGCTCTTTTGACAACCCCAATGTTTCCCTAAAAGCAAAAGCTCATTTTAAAATATCAATATTTTACCACTGATGCCATATGGCTATGGGTCAAGGACATTCTGAAGAGTGAAAAATGGGGATACTCAGAAGATGGTGGAGAGATATGTGGTGGTTGGAAAGAGGCTGTAGAACCTTACAAACCATGACCTGTGGTGGAGGATTAGAATGCCAGTATTTAAACCCTGCACAACCTGGTCTTATCCTGCTTTTCCTAGCTTATTGATATAAGTTTTCATTGCCCTTCAGAAACTCTACAGTTCAGCCCACCTGGCCCTCTTCTTGATGCACACTCATAATATTCCATTTCTCATCTCTTTGACTTTGTACATGCTATCTCCCAGGTCTAGAATATAAGCCCACCTCAACTCCACCTCCTTCAAAGTCCTCAAGAACTGGCTGATATCAATGACAACAACAACAACAATACATACATACATATATATCAATCCTAAAGCCTCACAAAATAAATCAGCTGATCAGATGATCAATGAGCATTTATTAAGTGCTTACTATATTGTAGGCATTATGCTAGGAGGAGCATTTAGCCTAGTGCCTGGCATATAGTAGGCACTTCCTAAATGTTTGTTGACTGACTTAGTTGGGAATACAAATACAAAAGAAAGATGGTCCCTGCCCTCAAGAAACTTACAATCTATTCATCCATATACAAAACATGGACAAGCATCAAGACTATGTAATACCACTATATGTGGTCCAGACACCATATTGTGGAACATCAAATTGGATCAAAGTGTTCCATTCCTTTTTCACTCCAGTTCTTACAGGTCTCATCCCACCAGCATGATTCTAAGGGCTAGGGGTTGAAGAGAGGGGTAAGATGAACAAATAGTCCAGAACACTAGTACACAGAGCAATTGACTGTAATGTGAGAGGTCCTTCATCAGGATGAAGGCTGGTTACCTGTCTTTGTCGTGGCAGCCCTTAAAATAGCTCTTTAATTTGTCATAGATAAGGATGAGTTACTATCTATTACTTCATTCCTTTCCGATGAAGAAATAGCACTCTGCTGTGCAACTTAGTACATTCCTGTGACTATAAGAAGCAGTCAAGTTGGTATTAGATAAAACTGTGGAGTGGCTACTCTGTGTTAACTCCTTTCACTGCTTTCTTCCTTAGATCCCTCAGCTTCTAACACCTGAATCTCCCCATCAACTAGCATATGTACAACTGCCTTTTGTTAATATCCCATAATCCAGATCATTTCCTTCCCTCCATCACAATGTACCTATCTTCACACCAATGTACTGTTAGAGGAGCTATGAATTGCCCAGCCATTCTGAAAGGCAATTTGGAACTATACCCTACACATTGCTAAATTGTGTAAACCCTTTGACCTGGCAACACCCACCATAGAGAGTAAAGACAGAGAAAGGATCCATAATTACCAAAATATTTATATCAGCTCTTTTTTGTTGTGGTGAAGAATGGGAAACTAAGGAGGAGCTCGTCAATTCAGGAATGACCGAACTAATTATAGTACATGAATGTAACTGTATGTTACTTTGCCATAAGAAATAACCATAAGGATAGATTGAGTGAAACGTGGGAAGACTTAACTGATACGGAATAATATAATGTTTATAATATTGTAAAGAAAAACAACATTGAAAAACAACGACTGTGATCAATGCAATGACCAACTCCAGCAGACTGTTGGTGAAACATGATTCACACCTCTTGGCAAAAAGGTGATGGACTAGAGGCTCAAATTTCTTAAATGGCCAATACGTGGATAGGGTTTTGCTTGAATGCTATTTGTTACAAAAAGAGCTTTGGGGTGGAAGTGAGGGCAGTAGGGAGAATGATGATAGAGATGTAAAAATGGAATCAAAAAAAGAAAAATGTCAATGAAACATTTAAAATATGCATTAGAAATTAGGAGAGAATTCAAATGTGGATACACATAAGCAAGAAAACATTGGTAATACCGGCTCTTTCCTTACCAGCTACCTCGCCTCTCCTCCCACCCTACCCAATTTTCAGCTCTGGAACCATAATTAAATCAAAATGATCACTATTACTAGAAAAAGTATGTCATTTCAATCTCCTAAAGTTCCGCTCACCAACTCTTGAACTTTATCAAGGCAAAATATCTAGCCCTAACCACCACTGCCCTTAATTTCTTATCCTCCCCTTCCCCCTGCCATTATATTGTAATCTCCTCAAAGGAAAAGGACTTTCTTCACTTCTGTAATTGCATAACTATCACTTAGCAGTGTCAGTACAGAGCAAATGCTTAATCTCTGTCTTTTCACTTCATCACACTTTTAAAAACAAACTATGTACTAGAGATTCATGGTTTCATATGCAGTCCTCTTGTCATACTATTCTTTGTATATAGAAGTACACATGTTGCTGATGTTTGTCAAATGGTAATAAAAGAAAGAAAATTACCTAAGCTGGACCATTTCCTCAGTGTCCTTCTCATTACTAGCTGATTGGATAAATTAATTCAGGTCACCTTTACATAAATTCAGTGATGTCATTCTTCTGTGTTTCCCCTCCCTTGAACTCTGTTTGCATTTTAACAAGGACATTCAATGTCTTTAGGGAGTGACTAATGAGTTCAATTTCAAGAACTTAGGCTGGTGGAAGAAATATAGAGGGACCCTATAGATTGAAATATATGGGAACAGTTTTGGGTAGCTATGAGTCACAATATGCCTAGAGGAAATCTTTCATAAGCTGCCCCAAATGTGAGTGAGGACTTCTGGATGACCAGTTTTCATCCAGGATGATAGGATCTGTTTTCTGTTGTTTACCCAAGAAAATCACTAACCTCAAGAGTCAGATACATTGAAATTTGCATCATAGTGATTTTCATAACTGCAATTTCCCCCTAAAATGATAAACTCCTTGAAAGTAAGACCTTTAATCTCACTATTAGTTTATCCCACCGTGAGGGAGGGACAGAGTCATAGCCAAACTTGTCTTCCCCTCTCAAAACATAGTATGTGTCAGGGGTGGGGAACCTATGGCCTCAAGGCCACATGGGGCCTTCTAGGTCCTTGGGTGCAGCCTTTTGACTGAGTACAATTACCAAACAAATCCTTTTATTAAGGGGATTTCTTCTGTGAAGTTTGGGATTCAGTCAAAGGGCCACACTTGAGGACCTAGAGGCCCACATGTGATCTCTAGGCTGCAGGTTCCCCACCCCTGGTACGGGTACACTGTACATCAAATACACATAATAAACATTGAATTTGAGTTGAATTAATATGAATTTGAAATACAGCACTTCCTGATCTGAAATGCAGTTTGAAACCAGAACGTCCTTGAAATTAGCCTTATCATAGGATGGCATGACAAGTTCTAGAAGGAGGACTCTTCATGCCATCCCATTGATTCAGGGCATATCTGGTGGACTTATAGCTCTTCTGACAGTATGGTCAGTTTGCACTGTTATTGTAACAACAATGCATGGACCTATTAAAAGATTTAGTCCATTCTCTGTAATTGAACTCAGATCAAAATGTGTAAGATACTGGGTTCTGAGAGATCAAAACACCACCCCTGGGCACTATTACCAAGCTGTCCCGACTCCAACAACCATAATGGGACCAATGGATTTCAAATTCCTTTAGATGGTATAAAAGCTGCCTCCATTGAAACACACTGTGTATGACATCTGTCTTCCCTAATCCAAACCAAACCCTCCTTTTGAAACTTTCCAAACCTGGCATATTGCAGTCCCAGGTTTTAAAAGGAAAGTGGTGAAAAAGCCAACAAGCCCAATAGCCCATTAAAAAAATGAACAGCATCAACTCCAACAATTCAAAGAGTAGTCTCTTTTAGAAGCTCTCATTTAGGGAAGATATTTAAGGTAAATGACATTTGATTAAGTGAAATAAAATGAGTGCATCTAGGGTGACATATTCCTCAAGTTTCAGGGTAGCCATATTAAGACTGCTTCTTGAGCAGAACAGACCACAAAACAATCTGTCACCATGAAATATAATCACATAAGAATATAACATCAGCCAGGGCCCAGAGTACATGAAGGTATATTTAATATTCCCCAATCAGCAATCAACCACTGGTGCATTCATTCATAATCAGAAGACACAGTTTAATTTTAACAGCCTGTTTTTCCCAGCTTATTATACTTGGTCACTTCAGGATACCATCCTAAAAGTTAAGTGGAAGGCAAGGTCCTTCAATTTTTGTTTCCCAATTGGCCTTTATATAATTGTGTAATTTCAAGGGAAAGAACTCCTTCTATCAAATGCAAGCCCTTACCTGTTGCAGTCCACGTGGAGCAGAAGATGGGAGGCGCTAACCGACAAAGCAATCTTGTGCCACTGGCCATCTGCCATCCGGTAAGGAAAAGCTTCCATCCTTGATTTTCCATTAAATCTATAGTGGTATCTGATTTCATCTCTCAAGCCACTGCTCTCCAGTTCAAAATAGCTGTATTGAAAGCAGAAAGAGTCTGTTTCAGTTGGCAACAGGACATCATCACCATCATTTCCCTCTGGGCACTACCTGGTTTCAATGGCTTCTCAGAGTTCACAATTAACTCAGCATCACACAAAGAGCCATAACCTAAAATCAATGGTGCAGCATGGAAGGCAGCTCACTTACTATGTCAGAGCCCACATAGTGAATACCTTCAGAGAGGGTACCAAGATCAATTGAAATACTGTAAGCTAATTAGTGGAGCTTGGTGCATTGTTTTTTAAACACTTAAAAGTGCAGTTCAAATCCCTTCTTCCATTGTCTATGGGCATCCAAGTGGAAGAGATTTACCGATGTTTATTTTTAGACCTGTTATATTTTTAAACATTACAGGAAAAGTGGCCTTAGATATCAAGGCCTAGAAGACATTAGCGGGGTAAAGTCTGGTGATTTTTTAAAATTTCTTCTCCCTTGAACATAATGATAATAGGATAGCAATTCCTTGATAATTAGGAGAGGAAAATTAGAGTTTGTTCACACTTAAGTCAGTTGTTAAGTATACAAGGCCATAAAACTCCAATGTCTGAGTTTCATTCCCTACCCCCTTAAGGCAGCTAGGTGACACAGAGGTTATAGTAATGGATCTGAAGTGAGGAGAACCTGACTTCTAATCTACTAGTTATATGACTCTAGGCAAGTCACTTAACCTAAGCCTGCTTCCATTTCCTTAATTCTAAATGGGGTTAATAACAGCACCTACCTCCCTGGGCTATTGTGAGGATCAAATGAGATAACGTTTGTGTAGCACCTGAAAAGTAATGGACAATAAATGCTTGTACTTTGGTCCCAGATTTTTAGGGAGAATTTTCAGACTCCTGGAAAATATCAGCTTAATTGCTATGGTTAAAAATTTGGCCAATAACCATCTTTCTTCCTACCTCTTACCCCCTATACACATTCCAGGAGGTAACATCTCTTTCCTCCTACTCTTGCATAAGAGATATACATAGTATTTTCTATGCCTTCTATATAGCCTGGCCTCTCTCATGGAGCAAGCCTATGTTCCAGTCAAACTGGCCAACTAGCTGCTTTTCCACATGAGACATTCCATTCCCCCACCCCTGCACTGTTGTACAAGTTCTTCTCCCATACATGGAATGCACTCCCTCTTCAACTACACTTCAAAGAAACCCAAGCTTCCTTCAAAGCACAGCTCAGATGCACCAGGCCTCTCCTGATTCCTCTAGTTAGTTCATTTTTCTTTCTCTCCTTCCTTTCATCTCTCTCTCCCTCTCTCCCTCTCCATTAACCCCATATATTTATTCTCTCTCTCTGTCTCTCTATCTCTCTCTGTCTCTCTCTCTGTTTCTGTCTCTGTCTCTCTCTCTGATTTCTCTCCCCATCTGTCTCCGTCTTTCTCCATGACTTTATTGCTTCATATTTAGTTCTGCAAATGTTGTAGTAGAATACAAATTCCTTGACAGCAAGGATTGCTTTGCTATTTCAAAAATCAACAAGTATTTATATGTGCCTAGTATGTGCACAATACATAGACAATACAATACAAAGACAATAAGGCAGTCCCTGCCATCAAGTACAGCATACTGGGATGAGAAGGTTACGAAATGTTCATAGACGTGTAAATATAGCTTTGTAACCATGGGCAAATTAATTAACCTCTCAGTGCATTAGACAAACCTCTAAGACTTTAGGTTGCAAAGAAGGTGCCAACCTGCATTGACAGAGAAAGTTCCTCACAGGCATCTCCCTATACCAATAAAATCACAGATTGGATCCACGTCCCTATCCCGACATGCAAAATAAAAGGATATTAACTTGGCAGTGGCAATAGTTACTAGGGAATCAGATAAGACCTCTGAAAAGAGGTTTATTTAAACTGAACTTTGAAGTAAGCTGGGATTCTGAGAAGTAAAGGTGAAGACAGATTATTATAGGTATGAAGAATAGCTTATACAAAGCTGTGGAAACAGGAAATGGAAGGATTTATATGGGGAACCAGAAATAGACCTGTTTGCCTGTAGTATTAGAGTATGTGATGGGGAGGAATACTTAATCAGATTGGAAAGGTGATGGGAAACATGATGATGAAGGCAAACAAATGAGTTCGTTTTTTATCCTAAAAGCAACAGGGAGACTCGGGAGCTTCTTGATCAAGGGATTGGAATAATCAGATCCATATCCTTTAAGAATGTCAGTTGGGAAGTTGTGTGGACAATGGACCAGAGAAAGGAAAGACTGCATTCAGAAAGACCAATTAGGAGGATATGGAAATGGCCCGAGCAAATGATGACGATCTGAACTAGGGTGGCTATAGCATGAATAGTAAAAGCCCACGAATGGAGAAGAGGTAATGGACTCTAGGGGTGTGGAGGATGCAGCATTGGCAGGACTTGAAAACTGCCTAGATATGATGTGTGAGAGAGTAAAACATGAAAGATGAACCCTAGGTTACAAACTTGGGTTTTTGTCTTTGTATTTACAGCATCTAGCAGTTTCTTCTTTATGAAAGATACAATAAATGATTGATGGATTGAATTAAAGTTGTCCAGAAAGAGCCACTATGCCAAATTAAAATCCTCGAAATGAGACTAACTCCTAACAACATAGACTGCAGAGGTATATCACCTAGCCAGGGATGCTAACATTAAACCCTAGACTCTGAGGAGATGGTTCTTCTCTCTAATCCACTTAGCCAACCTCACCCTACTAACCAACATGTATTTAATTTAATAGCAAAGTGCATCAGATACAAGGACTAAAATGAATATATCATGAAGCTAAGCCTCTATTATGCATGACTTCCCAATCTCATGTCAAAGAACAAATGCATATTTCACTCTTCTGTCCCAGATGATAATCCCAAGGAGGAATGCTTAAGAATAAGAATGAAGAACAGCTCCTGACCCACTTCAGTGATGCCATACTAAGAAACAGATGTGAAAACACAGGATGGAGAAGTTAATAAGATTTAGCAACTGGTTTTCAGATGCAGGCACACCCATGTTAACAGGAACATTAAAAGGCCATGGGAATAAATCCCTTACTGCACAGAGCTTTTATTTCTAGATTTTCCTGGCTTCTTGAAGCCAATATAGTTATGTATTCTTTAATAAACAAACTAATTTACAAGTGTATGTCTTCGTTTAAGCTAAATAGGCCATTGGGTACATCCTGGGCATAGAGAGGGAAAGAGATTTTCTACAATGACTTCTGTCTCTTCTGTCCATGGAACTTTGGAAGAAATGAGCAATCATTTAGTAATTATTGAGGACTTGTGTTGGATGTTGTGAGGAATATAGGAATGTCATAGAATCATATCAAAGCCAGAAGAGACCTCAGCAACCATCCAGTCCAACCCGTACCCGAAAGAGAATTTCCTTTACAAAGTACCCTGTTGGATCATATTAACTCTTAAATACAAAATTCCAATGAGGGGAAATATCACCTCCTGAAGAGACCCATTCCTTTTTGGAAAAACTCTAACTGCTAGAAAGTTGAGCCTTCCATCAAACCTAAATTTGTCCTTTTGTAACTTTCACCCGTTGGTCCTTGAGTCAAATAATACAAATCTAATATCTCTTGCAAATACTTTTAGACAATTATCATGTCCTCTCTTTGTTAGCCTCAACAGCCAAGTTTCATTCCCACAATATTCAAATAGCATGATCTAAAAATAAATAAATAAATGAATGAATGAATGAAATAGCCTCTCCTCTGGACCTTGTCCAAACTTATCATGGTGCTTGCTAAAGTATAGTGCCCAGAACTAAACACAGTGCTCTAGATATGGTCTGAAAAGGGCAGCATACAGTTGACCTACCTATTATTATCTTTTCTATGTGATGTGGTCCTGACTTCTTTAAGGAGGGGAGAGATACCTAGTATAAATATTCTGATGACAAGGACCCAAAGGAAATGGCAGAACCATATCTACCAGAGGAGTTTTGTGAAATCAAGTAAATGTGGTAGAATCACTGCTCAAAATGCACCCACCACCTCCTCTTCTCCTCATCCATGACCCTTAATCCAATCCATGATGCCACACAGTATATCCAGTCATCTCTATAGGGGATAATAACTCTAAACAAAGTAAAGGGTACAAAACCATAAACGAGTTCCTCTTCCATCACACCAGAGAACCAAGTTGATTAATTCTCTAAATACTGTCAACATCACTTTTACCATGAAAAGAAGGTCAAAGAATTCCAAAGTCAATGAAAATTCTAATTTAGCAGACTATTAGAAACTAAAACACAAAAATCCCATTTCCTATTCTGAGAACGATCACTTAAAATACTTTCATAGAAATGATTACCATTTCCCCCCAAATCATATTCATTGCTGAATCATTCCTAAGGAAAACAACTCCTTAATAAAATTCTATTCACCATCTATTCCATATACATGCAAATACATGTTTCTGAACTAAAAGCCTTTGGCCCAAAAAGCTCTGCGTATACAGTATCTATTTACAATCAAAAGACAATCTCTCAGAATAACATGACCCTGGACAGCAATTGCTAGCAGGTGCAAGCAAGTAGTAAGGTCACAAAAAGACTGATTTGGTCAACAAGACCATGCTCTTCCATTAACACACATCACTATCACTTGAAAGTTTCCAAGGACAAAGGGGAAGGCTGGCCAGCTTCAGGGTTCTTTTGGCATTAAAACTTCTATTGCCTAAGATGTCTATACACAAAAGAATGAAATGTTGGTAATAAGAGAAATAAATGCATGGAAGTGAATTGGCTCTCAGATATCACTGAGTTTTTTCTGGTCTGGAACTCAGTGTAATACATTTTCATACTCTCAGACATATGTCCTTATAGTTAATTTGGGTATTTATAATAGACAAAATAACTTATTCACTTAGTCATTCTTAAAAACAATACTGCTAATTCTATATGCAATGTTCTCTTGGTTCTGCTCATTTCTCTCATCATTATTTTGTGCAAGTCTTTCCAGGTTTTTTCTAAAATCATTGAGCTTAT